GTCTCTTGAGGTTTTCTTCCTCCATAGGAAAAACGCTTTCCTCCTCGTGACAACGAGCTGGGAAAGCCCGCTCGGAAGTGCCACACGTCGGGGATGCTGACCCCCAACGGCAAAGAATACGCCCAAAAAATCCCGGTAAGGCTGGACGGACGGAGACGGGAGTGGGCGAGGGGCACCGCGGGACCCCGCGGGGTTGGGGGGCTGGGAGGGGGCTCCGCGGGTCACACCGCGTCCTTTCTCCCCGCGAAGAAAGGGAAAATCCTCTCCCGTCCCGTCAGAGCCCCCATAAGTCTCACCCATCACACTGCGGTGGTCCCCCACCGCAGTCGGGCTTGGAGATAGGCAGAGGGTTTTATACCTCCGGTTCTTCATCAACAGTTTGGACTGAAAAAGCTGTTAAGTCTTGACCCCAAACATGTGCACATCACAGAGATATTGCATGTTAGTTTGTTGTATTGTAAAAGCTGTATGTGGTTACATATGCTCGGATCATAGTTATAAGGGTATTGCAGTAGTAATTCTACCAAATGACTGACAGACATCCCCTTGATTTTGTTGTGGCAGTCTCTGTGGAACAGAAACTTTAAAAAACTGCGTGTGACAGGTCAGTCAAATTAATCAGTGTCACCGCAAAGTACAAAAAGCAATCAGGAGAAAGAAATAGCAGTCATTATCTCTGAATCGGTACTTGGGTAAGGGGAAAAGAACAGCAAATTGTTTTAGACAGATGCAATGGCAAAGAAAAAAAATCATTATTAGTTTAGAGAAGAGCAGGAAGAGTTTCTTTAGAGGAAAAGCAGATCCTGCTTTGGCAGGGGTGTTGGACTGAATGATCTTTCGAGGTCCCTTCCAATTCCTAATATTCTGTGATTCTGTAAAGTCAAAGATGCAGCAGCGGGAAAGACTTTTGCCTGTAGGAGGCTGACAGGGACAAACGTTAATGTTCTGCTCTTTGGTTGTGTTGGAGTGGGGAGCTTCCCCCGAGATGTTTAGAAGCTCACCTGAAAGGGCAATGGAAAATTAAATGCCTGCTTTAGAAGGCTTTAATCAGTCAACCTTATTTCTGAACTTACTCATACTGCAAGATAGGTCTTGCAGCCAGTGTGTTTCTGTTAGAGAAGCAACTGTGCTGACCACTGGGCACCTTCATGGAAGTGTGTCTGCTGTAAATCTCTAACCACAGCTGTGACCATGGTGAGTGTGAGGGAACACCTGCACTGTCATACCAGCAAAGAGAGATCTCTAGATGAGGCTTCCTGGGCTCTTGAGACATCTAGGAGCTTCTGAGCACTTTTCCAGTACCAAGGAAGTTTGACAGGATTGCCACCCTTTTGCTAATGCTGTATTCAGAGTTTTAGGTCTTACCATCTAGGAAAGCTGAAACCTTAACAAATGCAACTTTAGGGTGTTGCTTACATGTAAGCAAATGACCAGAAACAGAGCAGCCCTTAAGTTCTGAATATTTGAAAACTACTGAATTGCAGATGTAAATCTTAAAAACGCTGCAATTTCACAGTGAGACTGTCTAACTGTTCATATGACCTTCTGCAAACTAACAGAAACTTTCCTTACTGGTTTAATTTCTAAGAGAGAAGAACTAACTCACTTGATACTGAAACTTTTGCAAGCCTGGAAAGAGCCACTTTCCCACTTCAACCAGCACATTGAGCATCATGAAGAGCTGCCTGATGACAGCCTTAGCAAAGCTAAGCAAATCAGCAACATGGTACATGAGCTGAAGACTGGGGTTGAGAAAGTAACAGAAAAGGCAAGGATTTCGATGTAGCTTATATTTATACGAGTCATGTGGAAGAAGTGACTTTGCGGTAGTGGGATGGGTGATGCCTGCTCTCACTTGGGCTATATAACCTTCGTGCCAACAAAGGCTCTGATCCAGTAATGCTGGATTTCATTACAGATCTAGCAATTTTTCAGCCAAAGGATGTGACTTAGTTTAGGGATTAGAAGATATGTAAGATATTATAAATGTTTATTTTATTGATACGATAAATACAAAGACTAGAAACATTTACAGCTTCATGTATGAGCCAGTAATGCTGTGGCTTTTCTAGGGTAGTGGAGGAAATGTCAGGAGGCAGTGACAAGTACTTAATTATTGTTTTCTGTTTTATTTGGATTTACATTGCAACTAAGTCAAGTATCACTGTTATCTGCTACAAAAAGCTCCTTCCTAAGGCAATAATTTTATGCTGGGATAAGTTCGGCAAGACAGTAGTGGGATTGCTTAAGTCAGATGCCAATCACAAAATAATTTCAAAATTCCATTCTAAATTCTGGCAGATCACATATAAATTATTGCATGTCATTTCTTGTTCTTTCCATTTCTGTCTTCTCATTACAAGCTAGAAGTCCTGATCTTTGTATTTCTTGTGCGTTCTTGCTACAGACTTCTGCTATATTTACCTGATTTTATTTTGAAGAATAAAACACCTTTGAAGAAATTATTCAGGAAACCTTTGAAATTTTGACCCTCTGTACTATAGACATGCCACACGGTAGAAATATCATTTAAAAACTGAAGCAAACAACGCAAACGCATTCCATTATTTTGCAGCTGTCTTTTTCTGTAGGACACCAATTCTGAGCTTGGTTCTGCTGTGAAGCTCGTCCTCTGAGAGATGATAACAGCCTTCAGAATTCACCAGGTTAAACAGCACTGGTGAATGCTGATGTTAGAAGCTTCCCCTGACAAAGCTCATTAAAATAAATGGGTAAAAAGTCTCAAGACTGATTTGCTGTATTACTTCAAGAGGAAATAATGATTACCAAACAGGGGTCCCTCTAGTTAAAATCAGGGGGACTTATACCACAGTATTGCCACATTACTAGTATATCAGATCATTTCAGACTAGTGTAAAGGTTGTATAGATACCATTAAGATTAAAAGACAGTGTTATTCTATGTGAAGAGCTTTACACATATCTTCAATAAGTACATGAAAGGTTTGGAGTCAAACAGCCCAAAATAGTGATGCTTCAGTTTACTCTTGCACTTGTACTTCAAAGATGTGTTGTATTTGTAGTTACCTGTTGTACTTCTTTTCCTGTTTTCAATACAGATGCAGTCAATGGGGATCATCAGCAATTCATTAAATGGAATGGCATCATCTGAAGCCACTGGTTTATCAATTAATAACGAAGCAAACATGATGAGCGATTCTGACTTTATTCACTGCTTCAGGAGAGACTCCAATAAAGTGCAAAGCTACTTAAAAATTCTAAAATGTAGGATTATGCCAGAAAATATTTGTTGAATTGTAAACTCTTGACAAGGAGTCTTCAGCATGTTGTTTATAAAGATGGACAAATATAATTTATAAATTATCACATTTACAGCAATATTAATAGGAAAGTGGTTTTGAAATTCTTTGGCAGGTACTTGATACAGTTGACCTCTGCAGCTGAAATATTAAATAAAGCATCCTGTGTGTATGTGGATTAATGCACCAGAAAAAAAGTCGTACTCTAGCAGTAGAGAAATAAATGTCCTTGCACATTACACTATGACAGACTATGTTATGGCTGATCACAAAGTTTAGTTATAAACATAGGTGAAACAGAAATTCAGTTTGTTAAACCTTGGTACAAATATATCTACGTACTATAGATAAAGTATATTTTTATGTACTTACTACTAATAGTTTTCCCCTATTTATACGTACATACATACCTGCAGAATATTGCTTAACCTTGAAGAGTGGTATTGCTGTTGATCATTTCATGTAACCGCAGGGCCCATGGAGACTTCCATGCTCACATCATACTTCTTACTAATTTCTATGGGCTTTCACATGTGCCCTGTAAGTTCTAGTTTCTAGCACTTTTATTCATTTTGAATGCTTTTTTATACTTGTAATGGTTTCACTGATTTCAGTGGAAACACTTTAAAAGAAAGTTTCTATATGAAAGGTAAGTCAGAATTCTGATCCAAATACAATTTCAGTCCAAGGACTGAGCATGGCTGATGTAGCAATAAGTCTCTTCCCCATGACACATCCTGACCCAGGGCTTGGGGTTTACAGTGATGATTATGAACTCCATAGCAAATAAAAATCTGAAATCCATCACATATTTTACAGCAATCACATTTTCCTAGCAGTGGGGTGGTGCTGATGGTTGTTTATAGAACAAAACATCTTTGCATTCAGATCCCAAATAAGCCATTTGAGTAGGCATTTACAATCAACATGGATTTATCTTTCATATTCTTGGCTATTTCAGCCCTGAATGCTCTTTTCTGGCCTCCCCTGATCTTGATGGTTGTTGACAGTAGCTGGAGCTTGGGCTGCCAAGAATGTAAAGAGAGTAAAATGCTAGTGACTGATACTGGATGTGGGC